CTATCCTCTTTGTACTTGCCCTTTAAGTACTGGAATACTGTGATTAGGTACCTCCTGAGCCTTCTCTTTCTCCAGGGAGAAAGACCTAACTCTTTCTGTCCTTCCTCAGACAGCAGGTTTTCCAGTTCTTTGACCATCTTCATGACCCTCCTTTGGGCCCTTTCCGGTCTGTCTGTGTCTTCCTTGAAATGTGGGGATCAGGATGGGACACAGTGCTTCAGGTGCAGCCTGACAAGCACTGAGTATGGTGGGATGATCATGTCTCTGTTTCTGCCAGTAATGCTGCTGGGGACGCAACCCAGTATGGGATTTGCCTTTGATGCTGCTGCAGTACACTGCTGACTCATGTTGGCTTGTTGTCCACCAGGAGCCCACATTCTTTTCATCAAGGCGTCTCCCTAGCCACACAGATTGTAGCCTGTACTGGCTCTTTGGCTACTCCATTCCAGGTGCAAGACTTGGAACTTGTCTGTTAAATTTCTGTCAGTAAATTACACTGCTTTCTCCACAACTGGCTGAGCATAAGCAGGTCTGAAGCAGGTATTGCTAATTTCAAAGAAGACAGCTAATGACAAAGCCAAATCACATTCATCTACTCTGCATGATGAAGAATGCAAAGATCTCTCCCTTTAGAGTCTGCTGATGAATACAAGGTGATGAATTTTGAAAACACACCTTGATTTTACCCATTTTATTAACATTTATTCATTTCTGTATTTATGAAGCAGTGTGGTTGACTGTATGTTTCTCTTCTTCCCAGTCATACAGTTAGTCCTACCATTCTGTGAAGAGACTAATATCAAGTTTTTAAATTTACGATTAGGATAGAAACTATAAAATTTTGACTGCCTGAGAAAGAATTGTTTCCGACATTGTTAAACTTGCAACATGACCCATAAAAAACTCTGCCTGATGTTAAATGTTTTATGGATAATATTTCCAGTTCTAATAGTGTAAAAAATGCTTGCATCAGGTGTTTAGGAAATCTGTTGGTGACATTGTTAAGGGTAATGTTATATTCCTTAGGCTTTACTGATCCTTCAGATTGTTTCCTCTGCAAGTAGATACAATGCTAAAATCAGTTTCAGCATTTTGATGCACAGCAAAAGCATTTATTCAGCTTGATAGCTGTAAGTTGCAATTTTTTAAACGCTTTTGAGGTTTGTAGCATGTTTTAAGGACACCAAACTGCAATACATCTGAATATAAAACAAGTGCTTTATAAATTGCTTTATCACTCTTCAAAGCTGCATGCTAGCAGGATTGCCAAATTCAACTGCAAAACTTGCCAGTTTGGATCATGTGAAGGCAGGTGTGAGATTACAGCTGTAATAAAACTGAAATTGAATACTTGTAGCTGAATTTGTAGTAGACAATTCATTTGATTTATATAACATAAGCCACATGAGGAGATATATGTAGGTCAACATCTTCAGCTGGGAACAATGGTTGGAAAGGTTGTGGTAGGTCGCTAGGAATATTGGGTTAATACTTGTTCAGTCTGGCAAAATGATGGTACAGTGTAACCACAAACATCAAAAGTCTTTGGGGACACATCATTTGCAACAAGGAAAAACTAGTCAGTTATATCCAATGCCACTTGTCCCATTAAAACTGTTGCTAAAATTAGCGTAAGAACCTAGACCATATGGAGTTTCCCAGGGCAAGAATTGGTACATTAGTTATGAGCACATTTTCAGCCTGCAAAATACTTGAGGTGTGTAAATACACAAATTAGTGATTAAACTCCTTCTATGGTAATAGAACAAAGTATTATAAAATGCAAACGGTAAATGATCCAGTTCAAGAAATCAGAGGAAGCACAATCAAATATAGCCTGCAGAGCTATTTCCAATCCAAACAGTCTGTTAGGACACAGATTTGCATAAAAGAAGAAAAAAAATCCAAAATAAAGCATTCACTCATTAATTAAAAAAAAAAAAAAACAAACTAACAAAGAATCCAACAAAAACCCCCCATGAGCTTTTGTCTAAGTTGTGAGCCTATGGAGACTACAGCCAGTCTTGCTTGGTATAAACATGGCAAAATCGAGCCAAAATTTCTAAAATCTTCATTTTTGCTTAGTATATTGAACTTCTTAGGCCTACAAAGACTCCATTGGCATGAAGCAGTGGAAGATAATTTTCCTTTTTTTTTTTTTTGCTTTATCTGTAATCTGATCAGAACTTCTAGTTCAAGAAAGAGAAGGCGGCAAAAATCTTGAAGCAGAATGTGAAGATTAGCACAATATTTCCTTTATTATTTTATTCTACAGAAATGCTAGGAGTGAGTATATGGTTGGGGAGGAGAGAAAAACTAGAAATGTGGTTTAAAAAACGTTCATTTAAGTTCAGCAAAGTTTTTGTGATGATGGTGGGTGCCTAGTTTAGACGATTTAGGAAGACACCTTGTTGGGAGAAAAAGGCAATGAGGTAATGTAGAAGTTGTGAGCATTTCTAATAAATGTGAGTTTCAGAGTTATGCATTCACGAACTTCATGAGTGAATGAATAACCAGTACATTAAAAAGAAGAAACTTAATGAAAATACACATATAAGAAAGAAGTGCAGAAGGAATCTGAATGAGTTTGTAGCAGCCAAAGTGGGAAGTAATTTTTGTAGCAAAGCAAAAGTAAGACTGTAAATAAGTAAGTGAAAGAAAAATTAATATTGCAGCAAAAATAACTGTTCAATAGGCTGTAATTTGTCATAGTATTCAGCACAAGATAGTGTCTTAAAAAATTAAGACTCAAGACTTACTTACTAAGCACACTGCCTTGATGATTACCGTTAGTTCCGTTTATAGTCTGGCAGTCATGAAAAACAAACAGAGATGAGCAGAGGAAAGAAAACTGAATTTTATAAAAATTCTTGGTTGCAATGGCACTAGAGGACGTAATCATAATTAGCATAATGAAAACATAAACTACGACTCTGGCTGGAACTGGGATAGTAGGTGTTTACAATAAACAAAAAACCCCTGGATTTATCAAGGAAGGGGGTTGCAGACACTATGGATGTGTTGGTTTTGTTTTTTTTATTCGAGCACACTGCACTTCTTCTAATGACACAGTATTTCAGCTTTACTTGTCTTTCAGATATCTAATAAAAACCTCACAACATTACTGTTACTAAAATAACCTTTATTGTTTCTTATTATGGTACCTCTCTTACCTGTTGAATAGTTTCAGTTTAATGTGACAGAGATGTAGAGGGTCAGGCAAACATTAGTTTGCCGCTATCTTTTATGTTTGACAGCAGCTGGCTCACCGGTCTCTGTATGTATTCTTTATTGCTTAGATGTATAATTTTGATGATGGAAAAGAGTTATTTGATTGTGTTGGGAAGGTGAAGTAGACATGGGAAACAATCCTTACAATATTTTGATGGTCATGGGCTATCTTTTTTTCCCAGGTTTATAAAGCATTTTTTATCATGGTACTTTTGGACATAACTGAGACTTGCAGGTAGCGTTGCTGAACAGTAACTGATAATAATTAATGATCCTTTCTGAAGATGTGTAACTGAGCTTTTAAAAAATCTTGAGACTGCTAAAAGAAATCTCATGACATTATAGTTCATATATTGTGAACTCTTGCAGAAAAAAAACCCACAAATTAAAATAGGGGTGCATCAGGGTTGATAAATGACTACATTTCAAATTAAAACTCTTCATTCAAGAGCTGAAACATAAATTGGAATAAGGTGAGGGCAAACTCAAGACAATGTTTATTCTAAGCATGTACAAACCTCTTTGTGATGCTGTCTTCAAAATGATGTGGCAGCTAAATGTATTATACCCCTGGGAAGCATTAAACTTAGAGCCTGATTCTCCTCACTACATAATAAGAATGGTGAAAAGCAGCCCTAAAGTAGGTATAAATTGCATTTAAGTCTTCTTTATGGCTCAGCAGCGGTAGAAAGGAGTCTCCATATAAATGAGAATCAGGTCCCCAGTATTTATTTAACCCTCGGGCTTTGTATATCATTTTATTTGCACCTTTAAGAGATTTGCAGAGGGATTTTTAATCAGGATTCAGTGTACAGAAAGCTAAATGTTTTCATTGCCTTACAAGTTACTTTAATCATAGAGGCAGATCATTCTTTTTATTTCTCAAGAGGGAATGGTAGAATTTCCTTCCTTTGTACAAACTGAGCTAAATGTTTCTGACACCCTTAGTACAGTGTCAATTGGAAATTCACATTTCATGTAATAACAGACCATTTTAATTTCATGAGCTGAAGAATTGGTTTCCACTTGCAAATTGTACTGAAGAAAGCAATATTGTCAGAAGAACTGGCACAGTGCTTCGAGAGATAAATCTATTGAATTAAATAAGAGGCTTTCATTACCTTTTACATTACATTTCTGTATAACATAAGCATTAATTAAACTCTTCATTGCTTTCTCCTATTCAGCAGAGCACTTGCTCAGTCTGACAAGAAATACTGCCCAAGAAAACATGTGGCATCTAAAAACAGTCTTTAAAATATGCTTAAGCAGAAGGGAAGGAAGGTGAGAAGGGCAGATTGTTTTGGTGCACTTGGGCAAGCGGGACCTGTCTGCAGAAATGCCTAATTTCTGTTTTTCAGGTTTTGACAGTTGCAGTGATTTGTAACAGGTCATCTCAGTAGGTATTTCTCCATGTGCTTTGAATACAAACAGACAACAAGCAACTATTTTTCAAATCTTAAGTATATATCTGTATATGAGGAAGGCTTCTTAAACATAAGAAAACACTTTTGATCTGAGACAGTTATAGTTCTACCTCTTGAAGTATCAAAACAGCTCTGCAAAGTGTGTCTCCCCTCCCATGTGTGGAAAACCCAGCTATAGAAAAGTTGTTGATATAGATTCAAAGTGTTCTCTGTCAAGGAGTCAAGCCTTAAAGAGCAATTTGGGTAACCCAACCAAACTGGACAGCCATCATTTGTATTTGATTCTGGCACATTTCTGTCTGTATTCAAATATTTCCAATTCCTTTTTTCTTGTGATTCCAGGGGAACATTTGAGAATCTGCCCTCAGGAATATACATGCTGCACCTCAGAAATGGAGGACAAGTTAAGCCAACAGAGCAAATTGGAGTTTGAAAACTTAGTGGAGGAGACAAGTCACTTTGTACGCACCACTTTTGTATCCCGGCACAAGAAGTTTGACGGTAGGCTGGATATATTTTACTTATTTCATGCTTATGGGATTTAAGAGTCAGGTGTCCATAATAAATTCCAGTGTTCTTTTCTTTACCATTAGATATCACATTTGCAGTTGTCAGTTTGGCTAAGATAAGGGTTAATGTACAGCTGGTATGCTTATCAGTCTTGTGAGTACTGCCTTTAATTACAATGACATCAAGAATCAGACTATTATGCGCCTGCAGGCTTGGCTAATGTTGAAAAAAGAAATTAGATACGCTTAGAGACGTTTATAATTTTTGTCTCCTAGTTTCAAATGCAAAATTTAGGTTTCTAATCATGTTCACTGTTCAAGATGAACTGTGGATCTCCCATGATTTTTGTTGTTGCAGAGAACTATTTGTGTAGTCTGCCTTTTTGTAGCCTTAAGGCTGTGTTTTTTTTCCTGCATGATTTTCTTGTGAAGTAGAGAGTCTCTAAGAGGGCTTCTGGCTTCCAAACACAAAGGCCTCAGTTGCGTTTGAGAGGGATTATCATACAAACCACTTAAGCAGCATCAAACGCATCTTTTCTACCTAGAAAGAACTGACAACAACAGTTTGGGGGTTTTGTTTGCTTGCAGTCAGCCTTTATAAGACCTTTGTAAGATCAAGGTTATGGTGTCACAATTTTCTAAATGTTTGTCTTTAATAATGAATATTAAGCAGTTTTTATTGGTTGTGTCCATATTTTTAAGTCATGGTTTTATCTAAATATGAAATCTGCATTTGTGTTAAAAGTGTCACCCTAAGCATTTCTGCATATGTGTAATTTTAAAAGGGTCTGGCATTAAGAGGCATAAATCAGCACTGCAAAGAGGATTGCAGAGCTTTGTGTAGGTGGAAAGCCTGCAAATAGGTGGAGTAAAGCCTGCTAACCCCAGGTAATGTTCATATGCACACATGTAGGAGAATGGTGGGAAGGTTATCTCTGAAGCTGTGAGCTTACTTTGGAATTCTAAGGTTGCGTTCAGAAAAAAGTGAAGATGTTTCTAAATCCTTAGGGTAATTCTGTATCATATCCAATTAAAGATTTCTTTTTCTAATATTGATTCTCTCAGTATGACATAGAAGGGAAAATGAATTTAAAAAGAAGGGAATGGAAATATGGGGATGAGTTGGAGAAAAGTCCACAGCAGCAGATCAGATGCTAATATAATTTAGTGAGTGTCCTTGGAAGGTGTGAATGACTGTGCACTGTTCTGCATTATGATGACTTCTCTTTTTAACTTTTTTTTGTGGATTTCCAAAATTTTACTTATCTTCAAAAGATCTAAAAAAAAAAAAAAAATCCAAAAGTCGTGTGCAGTCTTACAAGATGAGTGTGCAAGCAGAACAGATATTTCAAACTATCTATGTCATGTAAAGGGCTCTTTTTTTTAATAGAAGGAAACTGGGATGATTGCTGGTTGTTCAGTAAGCCATGCAGTATACTCAAAATGTTGGGTTCATTGGCCACAGAGCTCATATGTCACCTTACTAATTCTTTGGTAACTTCAGGCCTTGTTGCAATGAACTTAAGGGCATTATGGCATTTTCAGTAACTGAAATTCTGTATCTTAATACTGACGGTAAGGTATAGCTGAAACTTACTGATTGCTTGTATGTGCTTGTTGCCTAAATGGCTGTGAGGAAAAAAAAACTCCAAGCCAAATTAGGTAGAAGATTAGATAAGGATACAAAGGTTTTAATGAGCCCCCAGGCTTTCTGGAATACCACCAGTGCGCACTCCCGAAATACAGATGTTCACAGTTTTTATAATGATTTTCACCCAATCCCCGTCCTGCCACCACCCAGGTTCTGCCTCCGCCACGCCTCTTGGAAATTGGGTCTGGGGCGTTTTGGGACCCCCTCTTCTTCATCTTCATCTTCCTCACAGCACGTAATGTCCTTGGAGGCCTTCCAGAATTCTAGGCCTGGAGGTTGTTGGGTCTACAGCTGTATCTTGCTTGGTAGGATTAGGGTGTTCTTCTACTATACTATCTTGAAAAAGAGACTAAACAGGCTATGGAATTTAGGGAATTGATATGGGAATGAGTAACAGGGGTTTGAGCTGGTGTGTTAAGGGTAAAGGATAATATGCTGCTACTTTAAAATCTACATTTACTACATAACTACTTCTAAGATCCAGAAAAATTTAAAAAATCAAAACCATCAAAACTCCAAGGTATCATGCTACACTCTGGAATTCTTTTTGGCCTGCCCCACAGAGGCTTGGAATAAAAGACTGAGTGGTTTCTTCTGTCTTATGGCTGATGTTTTAAAGGGAATTCGCAATATGACATCAGAAAGCATTATAGGCTATCTTTCAGGGCAAAACCAGCTAAATTTTTTGCATTTAAACTAGGATGCTGTTTTTCAGTATGAAGCAATATTAAGATAGTTAGATAAGGTCGGTGTTTTAACTGTTCAAGAATTATCCTCTTTTTTTTTGTTTTTTAATTTGGTACTTTGATTGCACAAGGGAATCTGATACATGAATCTGCCATTTAATGCTAGTATACCACAAGTAACAGAACAAATAGAGCCAACTGTGATGATTTTATGGATTTTTGTAAAGTACCTCTGTTTATCAAAAGCAGTGTATGTAAGCAATAAATGAATATATGAACATTTAAGGAATGTTGAGATACATATTAGCTTTGCTCCTGTAAGGAGTTAATTTAAAGTAAAGTTACTGCCAAGTTCTTTGTTCATTCAGACGTTTATATAATTTTAAAACTCTTGAAAGGGACATCGAAGGGATATCTTGTAGACCTTTGCATTTTTTTTTTTCTGCTGTACTGGACATGTCTTAGGGTAATGCTAAGTTTTGCAACATAAGACTTTTTAGGAGTATATGAACTCTTTGTTGAATTTTGATCTGACCTTCATAAGCCTTGCCTTTCTTATTTTATTCTTCCCCAACCATTCACTTATCATCACCACTCGCTTAGGCATAGATGGAATGATGTTCTGATTTTCATTTTGAGAGACAATTTGGGATCTGTGTTCCTTTTCAGAATTTTGTCCCAGATTCATGATCTAATCTAAAGGAAACTCAATCTGCTTTGACTTGAATGTTGTCTCTTTAGCCCTCTGGTAAGACAAACGTTGCGCAGAATCACAGAGCATGGCTGAGATGTGATGGAGGTGTTCTGGTCAGCAGCCCCAGTTCTCTCTGCTCCTATGAGAGATGGTCCAGTCCTGTCATCACCTTACCGCCCTTTGCTGGGCTTGTGCCAGTGCGTCCATATCTCTCTTGTACTGGGGAGTGCAGACCTGGACCCGTCTCTCCACGTGTGGCCTTATCATGCTGAGCTGAGAGGAAGATTCACCTCCCTCAGTCTGCTGTCAGTGGTCTTACATAATTTCTATGTCATAAAATATTTCATTTTACCTCAATTACATTACTTCCAAGTCTTTACAAGAACTAAATTTCTGTATTAACTAAGAGCAACAGAAGCTAAATATGAAATTTGTAACAGAGAACTTTAAAAATTGCGAAGCTTTTTGGAACTAACTATGATCAGAAGAAATTAAGCCTTTCTTTTAATTGGCAATCAGTTCTTACATTTTAAAGCCCTTTCACTTCTTATTCATTTGTCCACCACATTTCTAAAGGGCTGTCAGTGTGTTGGGACTTTTACTATTCTACATTCATTTTTTTCCTGTTTTATTCCTCATAGTATGTAAGGTTCAAAGATTTCTGGGAGCCAAAGGTCTGACAATGTTATTTTTCATTCGGTTTCCATGTTCTAGACAAGAGGTATGCATTAGCATACAACATAATGCCAGCTGCCTGTTGTTTCTTGGCTGAGCCTTATGTGCAGATGTTTGCAACTGTATTGCCCACATCTGCATATTTGTCATTGCACTGACATACTGGATGGTCTTATCAAACAAAATCAGTATCTGGAATTTCACTAATGGGTGCACGAGGATCCAGAGAATCTTCTCCTCAGAATCTTGCAAAGTAAATAAAACCTTGAACTGAGAAAAGCTCCTTTGAAACAATAGATGCTCAATGCTCCTAGCTTCAGCAAAGGAACACACAAACCTTTCCAAACACTCGGAAAAGGAACAAAAAACTTTTCCAGAAGACAGGAAACCCATAGGAAATGAAGAATTCAAGCAGATACAGACTTTTCTTTAACCTCAAGGCTTTGTGTAGGACTAACCTGTATAAGCAGATATGTAACAATCAGCTGTTTCCTGTTCCTAGCACTAGACAAGTAATCACGCTCCAGTTCTTGGACCTCCACTGTATACCTCAAAGCAGCTTAAAATATATTATGCTCCCAGTGTAGCTGTAATAGTATCATCTTATTATCACCAATTCCCTTGCATACTGACATTGCTGAGCAGCTGTTTCACACACAAGCCAATTTCTTTTAAGTATTGCTCCATCAGCAGCCGAAACCAGCCCCGGCCGGAAGGTTTTGTCATGAATGTTAATGAGGAGACAAGTAGCTGTTCAATGACATTTTCTCACTAATCCTTTGAATAACTATAGGAAAAATATAGCAAAGAATTTTAATTTAAGCTAAATAGATCTGAACCTGATAAAAGAGACATCGGCTCCTCATTCTCATTAAAAATTACAGTTCCAGTCTTGGCGATGGTATTAAAAAATGAACTAATGTCTAAGAATAGCTGTCATGAACTTGAATGGATAAGGATAGTCTTCAGCAGAATGTGTGAGGCATGACGCCTTCTAAGGAAAATAACCTGGATAGCCCAAGAACCAATCTGCAGCCTCATTGATCTGTCATACAGGGTCATCACTCCCCGTGCTCCTTTTTTTTTTGACAGTCTGGGAGAACACTGATCCATACTCATTAGTGCTCCTCATATTTCTTACAGTCATTACCAGCAGTAGCAGTGTAAATTACGTGGCAGCAGAAAAGTTTTCAAAGATAATCCCCCAAAACCATGCTTGCAAGAATGGCTATCATCCCAGACACCCCGTATTCCCTTTTCTTGAACAAATTATGAAAGAATTTGGA